ATTTTTAAAAATTAAGATATTTTAATTTTTTTAAATAAAAATTTATTAAAACTATATAATTTTAAAATAAAATAAATAGGCACTGTTTCCAAAAAAATATATTATCCCTCCCCCCAAATTTGTAGTAATAGTAAAAAAAGGAAATTCAAGATTTCCTTATTCACTTAACGCACATTTTGAGTAAATCATACAAATGTCGCCAAAGAAAAAAAGAATAACTCAAACAAAAGAGAGAATCGTGAATAATTTAGTTGAATTTCAGGCATCCAATAATTGTCCAAAATCCACGCATGAAAAGAAAACCTAATACCTATAATATTATCACCTGACCACATTGCCCAAAAAAAAAGGAGAAAAAAAAAGAAGAAAAAACACTTAATAGACGTGGCAGGGTATTTCTGGTTACAAACTATAGAAAAGATGATAAAATGCAATCAGGTGATGTCGAGCTATTCCAAGTATGTCAGAATATCAAAGTCTCTTGTAATCAGTTGAGAAATAATCTCACCTGCAATTTTTAACACATTTAACTACAGATTTACAGTGGAACACACATATACCTAAGCTCCATCCTGTGAAGTTTGCACAAGTTCACGTGGTTGCAGTTGTGGTTGAGGTGTTGATTGCAATGGCGAAATTCCCACTACCTCTATAATAATGCCTGCTGAGGACTCTCTTTACTTGTTCACTTATTAGGCAAAAACAGCATGGGAAAAAAAAGGTACTTGTTATCGTTCTTGTAGTGGTTTAGACCTATTGAGGTTTTGCGAAGGTCCGGCTAGACACTCCATGCAACAATTTGACAAACCCAAGAAAACTTAGCTTTCCATCTGTATGCCTAATCCAGTCATGGAGAACAGCATGAACAGGCAAAGAAGGGCCCAGCCCCAGTTCCTGAAACACATCACATGTGAGATTCAACAAATTAGTCTATGGTTTCATGTTTGAATTGTGTACACTGGCTGAAATTGAACTTTACTATTACAGACAAGAAAGTCTAAGTAAAGTGACATTGTCAGCTTCTTCCTTTTCTTCTCAGATAGGTTTCATAACTTTCATCAAGTTCAATTAAATTGAGCAACATACATGGGAAACAGTTAGACCTTCGTTTCTTCTGTAACTTTAGCCTGACATGTCATATTTATAAAACCTTAGCCAGTAAGGAAAATTAGTGTATTAAGCAGATGAAAACTGAGTCTGGTTCCTATTCAGGGGAAAACCTTAAGTCGGCAGGCCATAAATTTAATTAAACTTTTGACTGATAAAAGCCAATTACATTGTGCCCTCAGAAAGCAGACTCCACCAATCGGTAGAGAGACTAACATAAGTAATTACCTTAGGAACAAGCATGTACTGTCGTACAAAAAATTTGCTAGACATTAACTTACCGATGCTAGCTCTTCAATGATAATAGCTCTGTTTCCATCTTTCTCAAAAAGTTCATACGCACAACGAGCATGTTGTTCCCACCGATCAAGAGCCTCCAGCTGATGGACACTTAAGGCAGCTGCACAGAATTCCTCAAAATCCATCCGCCTATATTGAAGTGCATTAAGCTACACATAAGAAAATGGGGTAAGAATAACTTGATTTCTTATACAGCCTTCTACACTAAAGAAGAACAGAAGAAAGACCCACTGATGCTATAAAATCAGGGATTCGTGACTCCTTCATAGCATCTGTTGTATTTCTCATCAAGGCCTGACCAGGGTCAAAGAGTTAGAATATTGTCCATGTAATCAGTAGGAAAGATTTTTCAAGCTTCGTGAAAAAACAAAACCAACCGTTTTCATATTTTCTAAGCTTATAGTGCCATTTTTGTTTGGCTCCAGCAATGCATATTGCTCCCTCAAATAAAATAGCTCATCCACAGTCAATGTTTTAGAGAGAGCCTGCAAAATATAGCAAGGAAAACCGTCAATCAAACAAATCACTTGTGGAAAACCCTATCACCTGAAAAGATGGAACGGGTCACAAACAAGATTGGTTTATGCTCATGAGAAAATCAGAAATCAACCTGCAGCAGCAATCAAAAACCACTTTCAATTTCATCCTAGGTTCACATAAATTGTTGTAATCTTAAACATCTCTGAATGAAGTCTATGATGAACTCATCAAAAGCAAGAAAAGTTTTCTTCATACTGGCATAAACATATCAAAATAATATAGAGTGGTTGTCTTTACAAGAATCACTATGCACGCACCCTTAAAGCTGCTTTCCTCAAAGATGATGAGCGCATATAAGCCTTCATGAGTTTGAATATTAGTATATCCAAAGGCACTTTTACATCCTCATAATCTTTAATCCATGGATGACCTGCACAAAGCAACTGTGATTAAGCGACAAATACAATAAGGAAGAAGCACAATGAACTCATCATAGTGATAAAGGCACTCACATAGGGCTTGGGCAGCAGTCAATCTTTTGCGAGGGTCCTTATTCAGCAAGCGCTTAACAAAGTCTCTTGCCTCGGGAGTCAGAGATGGCCAAGGTACTTCATCAAAACTTGGACCAGCTTTTAAAACAGCCCGAAAGATCCCAGACTCAGTTCGAGCCCAAAATGGACGACTTCCACAAAGCAGAATATATGCAATCACACCTATACTCCAGACATCAGCTTCTGTACTATAAGCTCTATGTAGAACTTCTGGTGCTACATAGTATGCACTACCAACAATGTCATTAAGTCTTTCATCTGCAATTTCAAGCAAATACTGAAACCATTAACAAATTAATGAAACAGCAAAATCAAGCAATATCGCGTACGTAGGTAATAGTAATGCCTTTTTTTTTTTTTTT